GCTGTACAACATGACCCAAAGGAATTTGGAAGAATTGAAATTGTGTTGCACATATTTCTTACATTTTTTTACTATTGGCAGCTTTTCCCTGAAGTTGGATGATATTTTAACTGCTTAGGTTTACCGAATTTTCAGGTGTCTGGAGTTTATGTTGTGCAACATTCAGTTTATTTAGAGGATTGTGAAAGAGTTCTCAGTTTTCTATTCTTTGGCTGTACTGAATTCTGAGGAGTTTTAAATTCTCCTTAACATTATGCAAGGTGGTACATAGCTTGCTTTTAGACAACATTGCTTTGTTATGCTTCTGATTGATCTTCCTTATCTGGTGTAATTCAGCTGTTTGTCTGGTTTGTTTCAAATAACACCTTCACAGATTTCCTGAACAGCAAGCTTGGAATGCTTAATGGAAATAAAGAAGTCACATTTAAAATGTAAACCAAAGAAATTATAAAAAATCTGCTAGGTTTTTTGGTGTGGTATTACAGAGATGTTACGTTAAATGTGGTTTAGAAAGAGAAAGAAAAGAGGTATTTCTTACACATCCTAATAAATGGACTTTGTCCTTGACAGGAACAAACCTTGGCTCTGAGGAAAGAAGGGATAGGTGTTGTGTTAGATTCCGAATTGCCTCATCTCATTGGCATTGATGATGACCTTCTCAGTACTGGTATCATCTTGTACCACTTGAAGGTAAATACACATCTGTATTTCTATAGCCTTTATATGCCTTGTAATTTTTTTAGTAGAAAAACTGTAGTATTGATTTACTATCTAAATGGCATGCTCATTACATTACTGTAGTAAGAAAAGCTCATTATGTTTTTCTGCTGTAGTAAGAAAAGCTCTTATGAGGTTGCGATTGATTAAATTAAAATTCCAGTTAATCTACTGTTTAGGTTTATCCTGAGGGTCAACTGCTAACCAGAGATAGGTGTTCCACATTTTTAGCTATGTATATTGGTTTGCCATTCGTCTCATTATCAAGCTTGACCTTGAAATCCAAAGCTAGATGAATTGTCTCACAACTACAAAGATGGCTCTCCACAGAGCAGTTGAAACTTGAATTTGCTAATAATATGGTATAATAATGACACTGAAAGCATTCTAAAAGTACTACCCATTTTTTTTATGTATATTTAAATATGTATTTTGTTCAGGTTACTCTGAGAAAGTGGAAGGATAAATTATATCCTTGTGGGGAAGAAAGGGAGATTTCAATTGAAAATAATGTGTGTTTCTTTCTTAATTAGGAGGGCCAAACATATGTTGGCAGAGAAGATGCTATGACAGAACAGGATATTGGTATGGAATTTGGCATTTTTTAATGTTGTTTCTTCAGTTGTTTTCCTGCTTCCAAACTCCCAACATGTGAACAGCACTTCTATTTTTTTTTTTACCTTTTTCAGTTTCTCATTTCTATGTTCTTGCGTATTTTAATTTTTAGAAAAGCTGAGAGCTGAACTATGTAGGATTTGCTTCAGAGAGCATGACTTGTAGGATAGCTTGTGCGCTTAAAATGTATTCATATACTTGTTACTAATTTATTTCTTGCTTCTCTTGAAATAGCATCCTGTAAAAATACCATCCTTTTTCATACAGCACCTGTCACAGTTACTGCATAATCATTCTCTTAACCTTTGTATAATGACAGTATTGTTTTATTATTATACCTAAGACAGTCTTTGGACTTTAGATTTGAGTAGAAAAAAATTATGAAAGATGAGAAAAATCTATTGATTTTCTTACTTCTTATCAAAGCAAATAACTTCCAGACCTGGACTACCCTGTCACATATGTTCCTCAAAGTCAGTTTCATTAAGTGAACTGCATCCTTTAATTCTTGGGGGAGATACTGTGTCAAATAAGTTAGTTTGGTATACTGTTGTGGGTCAAAAGTTGCCTGGATTTAAATTGCTGTAATAAATTCCATGAAGCTACCAAACTTGTGTTGCTTTGGGTTATTACGCAATATACATAGAGATAATCATACATTATTCAACAAAAAGGTGGAAACTAGCAGAACTGATTGATAAAAGGGCTGAATATCATAGAACATAAAAACTTTACTTCAGCAATCATTGCTTATCTACAATGGCATATTATATCCTGTCTTTTTAGATTTAAGCATAGTTGCTTTAATGTCAAGAAGCTTTCATTATTTTCTGGTGAAACTGGTCAAAAAAACTCCTTCTGCAAATACATAAATTTTACTTTTCTGTTTTTTATTGGAAGGAAAGGAGCATTTGCTAATCAGGTGCCGAAGTATGAGAGCAAGGAACAGTGCACCAAAACCCACATAATCAAACCAGCACACTTCTTTCTGCTGCAGTAAAGCAATAAACAGTCAGCATTTAAGGCATGCAGGATGTGATGAAGGAAGGAAGAAAATATTGTCCAGAATAAAGAGAAAAGATACTCTTGGATATGTAGTGCAATGTGTTCTTAATAAATTATTATCAGCGTGCTAATCCTACTAGTTGTGAGGAGACTAATTATGTTACCTTATTTCTTTGTGTTTAGTTCTTCATGGCCTTGATTTGGAAAGTGAGCATTGCATCTTTGAAAATCTCAGTGGCACTGTGAACCTCATCCCACTGAATGGAGCGCAGTGTTCCGTGAATGGTATTCAGATTACAGAGCCCACACACCTCAACCAAGGTATTACCCAGCCTAATGTCATTTTTCACACAGCCTCTTTATTTCTCTCTGGCAACAGCAGTGAAAAAATCTGGGTGTATATAAAGGGGTTATTGTTTAATTAATTTTAATTTCATGTCTTCTCCACTACAGCCCAAAAACACCAGGAAAGCTGCAGTTTCTGTTCTGTCAATGAATTGCCATGTGGTGTAAAGAGAATTCTATATTAATTTGAACCACTTCATAATCTTGTGTATGATTTGATAGTTACCCTTTGATTTATTTCATTTTTGCACAAAGTGAGCTCCATGCCAGATTGCTTATGTTGCTGTAATATTAAGGAAAAGAATATAGATCTCCATAGGACTAAAATAATGTCAGAGACACCTCTGCCTCCCTCCCTGAGTTTCAGGTTGGTCCTACTTAACACTGTTGCCAAATCCTCTTGTGCAGCAGGAGATTGAGCTGGAGTATCTGTGCACTGCAG